TAGGAATATTCCAAAAGAACATACTAGCTTTTCCTTCACAAGACAAGAATAAAACCATCCTCAAGATGGCTACCACCTTTAAGTATTTCTACTAGGGGCCTAGGGCTGAGCAAAGCCTTTTGCTTTTATTATCTCATCTAATGCTCACCTCCTCCAGACTGAGAGAGGCTGGATAGCTCAAGCTGAGCACAACCAGAAAGCTTAGGAAATGGGCGTCACAACCACTCAGAGCTTGTGTTCATACCACTACCCCACTTAAAGGCAGTGGGCATGAATGCTCACCACAAATAAATGAAAGGAAAAGACCACAGAAACAGTGGAAACAAGTTTGCACTTACAGCCATAAGCATTTAAGTACTTTATTCATATCTCTCTTCTTACTCATAATACCTTCTCTTCTTTCAATGTTTAAAGATAGGAAAATACAATTCATTTCTTCCAGACTCTTTTCCCTATTGAGAAAAATCGATGCAGGTACCCAACTGTGGAGGCATTTTAAAAAATGCCAGAACTAGACAAAGTTATAGGTGTAGCTTCCATTAATGAAGCCCCTGGAGTACCTGTGAGGGTCCCCAACACGAGGAGGTGAGCAAACTCTTTCAGAGACAATGGGCTGAAAAGTACAAGTGCAGTTTTTCAGTTTAAATTTTTCATTTAAATTACAAGTGAAGAGCAAAAGTTAAGTGGAATCTTACACAAAGAGACAGCTATGATGCTGGCAGGCGGTTACTGTCACTTTCTGCCCAGCACCCATGTCTTCAGCTTTACCAAGCACACCACCATCTTCCTTCAACTTTCCCCGCACCGCCCCCCCCCCCCCCCGCCCCGGATATCTACAAGGTAAGGACCACTTAATCCTAACTCATTTCTGAAAACCTAATCTTTAAAAAATGTTTCAATTTGTTAATATTTTCATTATTCTTTGGGAAATAATATATATCATTACCATGTATCGTGTTTATACATGTTCATTCTGGTGTTGAATAGTGGTTATCACATCTAGCTGCCAAGTCCTTAACATGGGCCAAATGAGGGGTTGACAGGTTTTTTTACACAGGAAACTTCATTCCTGCCTCCTCACATCTCTACTGCCATAGGCTTTATCCAGATGAGGAACTAGAGGGTCAGGTAGATTAAGTAGGTACAGTGAATGAAAGAGGCCAGATTTGAATTTGAGTCTGTTTTGATGAGAAACTTTTTCCCATCATGCTCTGCTGTTTGGGCAAGGCAAAAAACAGATTTTCTAGAATGACTACCTCCCAGTCACATTTCAGATTTGCTGGAGAGCAGTAAGAGAGTGGAGCCGGGTGAACCATTTGCTCCAAGGGCTGGTTGTCAAGATCAAATCTCTGCTTATTGACCATCAATCTCTCTGCTCTAAATTTTTAAATTTAAAAACAGCCACAATGCACCCAGGACTAGCATGTCAAGCCCTTTATATGTGTGTATGGTTTATCAACCAACAGGCAATGCTTTGCTGTGGCAACAAAATATAAGTGTTTCTGCACCTCTAAGACCACATGTCTAGGCTAAAGACAAGTTTAAACAGCAAGTACTGGGCACAAAGATCTGTATTTTCTTTTTTTCCTTTTAAGAATTATTCTAACTCCCATTTTATTCAATAAAAACTTACAACTCTAACATTTTGGGGCTCTGGACCTCTTTTATAACACAACCACAGACCTTCTCCCTAGAAAGACACATACACACAAAAAGGTTTGGTCACAACTACATGAGTTCAGGAATCTCTTGAAGCCCATTCATGGACCCCCTAAAAGTCCAAAGACACCAGAACAACCTTTGCTCTAAAAAGGGGTGCCTGGGTGGCTCAGTCGTTAAGTATCTGCCTTCGGCTCAGGTCATGAGCCCAGGATCCTGGGATTGAGCCCGGCACCGAGCCCCACATCGGGCTCGCTCCCTGCTCTGTGGGAAACCTGCTTCTTCCTCTCCCACTCCCCCTGCTTGTGTTCCCTCCTCGCTGTGTCTCTCTCTGTCAAATAAATAAATTCTTTTTTTTTTTAAAGATTTTATTTATTTATTTGAGAGAGAGAGAATGAGAGAGAGCACATGAGGGGGGGAGGGCCAGAGGGAGAAGCAGGGAGCCGAGCAGGGAGCCGAGCAGGAAGCCGAGCAGGGAGCCCGATGCGGGACTCGATCCAGGGACTCCAGGATCATGACCTGAGCCAAAGGCAGTCGCTTAACCAACTGAGCCACCCAGGCGCCCCAAATAAATAAATTCTTTAAAAAAATAAAAATAAATTAAAAAAATAAAAAACATACTGCGGAAATATCCACATCATTTCACAGGCCTGGGGAAAAGACCTTAGAGCCAGCTCTCTCATCATCCTTTATAATTTCAGAAGGCTAATATTAAATAAACAAACAAACTTCCATAACTAGACTCCCATACTCTCCAAGAAATCAGCAATCTCATGACTTGAGTAAAATCACCAAATCTAAGATCATATAAATTCAAAGCCCAAATCAGTTTTGTTATAGCTTAGAATCTACTACTTCTTTCTGCCCAAAGATTTCCCTAAAAAAGAAAGAAACATTAGTATGGTCTAGAGCTTGAATCCTTCCTATTTTAACATTCATGGACACATTAAGATATAATTATATGGAAAAAGACTACTAAAATCTACTAAAACATGTCCTTTTACTATACATGATATGAAAAAAGGTCAATTAAGAGAATTCTTAAATGTTCAACACATAGATAGATCTATGTCAATGCAGTTGCAAGTTAAATTATGTGGTTCGCAAGCAGATTTTTAAAATTTTCACGAAGACTCAAATTTGGATGTGTTTTGAACCACTTGGATCAAGAACTTTCAGAAATGTTTATTTTTTAGGTATATCTCAAACTTTAAAGTCTTTCAAATCTCTCGTTCTCATTGCTTTACAAAATCTCTAGCACTGTCCACATTTTTAAGTTACAAAATGAACATATATAAAAGTGTGTGGCCAGGACTCCATCTATGAATACAAGATAGAATGTCTCATGAAAATTTAACAGTTACAAGGGGTGGTAATACTCTGCTATAAACAACACCAAAGATTATTTTAAATCACTATCACTAGATACTGTTTCAAAATTATTATATGATAAGATGAAGTAACAAGTAGCTTACACACAACATCATTTCACCATTTGACAATTATCTTTTAAACAGCAACCATCCCCACCAAAATGCAGCTGGGATATATAGATAATCAATTGACACTTTCAATTTACAGTGTGTAGTACCTAAGATTTAAAGCAAGTCTCCCGTTTGTTAAGAGTATTTTCTTTCCTTCTAAAACCAAGAAAATGAACAGGGCCTGATGATGCCCACGCACACAGAGTTTACACCAGTATTATTTTAAGGCCAAGGGAGGCTTCACGCCCTTGGGGAGGTCAAATTATACCTCAGAATCTTCACTCGAAGTAATTTTTGGGTTTTTTTGCCTTTGTGCCAAAAGTCAAAGGTGCTAATTCTTGAAGAACATTATTGGAGTTTTGACTTCATACATGTGAATAAAATTTTACATATAATATACTGATCTCTAGCCAGAGTTTAAACACATTTCACTGCCATACATTTGCATTTACAACTCTTCCTCTTTGAAAGATCTAAGAGAAAACTAGGAGAATGAACCCAAGTTTCGCAAGGAACCAGAAACAACCAAATCCAACCCACATAACTGCTTCAGCCCGGATGTGAAGAGGCACGGTACTTGGGGGGGACAGGAAAGCTGGAAAATAACTTTATGTTCAACAAATTACCAAACCTGGGTTAAAACGCAGACACGCTCCTTATGGCTAACTGAATCTATCCCACTGGAGATCAAATCAGCGGTACTTGTTCTTGTTTCCTCTCACCTCCTAAATGTTGCCATTTACGAGAAACTCATCGAAGTTGAATCAAAGTGACTTTTGGGAAAAGATGCCAATATGATCTACACTGTACTCCGGAAATGTGTTAACTCTACACACACGGCGACGTTACTCCTTGAGCACCAACCCCACCCCACCCCCACTTCACTTTCAACTTCCCCTTAAGATGGGGACAATCACATAGCCATTTTTTTCAAAATCAAAGAGGAAAATAAATAGAGCACCCCATCCAGATCACCGACGGGCTCCCGGCGCCCCGGGGGGTCGGTGGGCACAGCGCTCCCGGGTCGCTCCGACAACTCCTCCGGGAGGTCTCCAAGTTTCTCTTTCCCCCTCGCCGAGCACCCGCCAGAGCCCGGGAGGGAAGGGGGCGGCCCCAGGGGAACCCGGGGCCTTCGCGGCTCGCCGGCAGCAAGTGCCCGCGTTCGAGACCCGCCCGGGTGCGCGTGGGCGCCAACTTGGCAGGGACCCTCGCGCCGCGCCCCCTCAGTGCTCCCAGTCCTGCGCGCCTCCCGGGCCAACCGGGTCCCGGCGTCCCCGCCGCCCTCCCCCCCGCGGAACGAGCCCACCCCCCGCTGCGGCAGCCGGGATGCCGCGGCGGGGACGGCGGTCCCCTTTCCCGGGAAGGCGCGGGGGCCCGGGGTCGGGCGGCCCGCAGCCCCCGCAGCCCCGGCGGCGGCCGAGCGAGCTCACCTGGCGGCTGGCGGCGGCCTCCGGGGCGGCCTCTGGGCGTGGGCCGGGCGGGGGCAGCAGGGGGGGCGGCGGGGGCCGGGGCTGCAGCCAGGGCCGCCGCCGCCCGCTGGCCTCGCCCCCACACGCGCCGGCCGCGGCCGCCCCCGGGCAGTGCGGGGAGCGCGGGGAGCGCGGGGAGCGCGGATCCCGCGGCGGCGGCGGCGGCGCGGCGCGGCTCAGGCGTCGGAGCGGGCGGCCGCGGGCGCCGCCGCCTCCTCCTCCATGGCTGTTTACCCGGCTGCATTGTGGGAGTTTGACCTCCGCCGCCGCCAACCGCCGCCTCAGCCTGCGCCGCCGCCGCCGCCGCCGCGCACGCCATGGGAGCCGTGACTGACGGTGAGGCCCGCTCGCAGCCGCCCCGGCCTGCTTCCCCGAGCCCCTCGGCCGCCCCGGCTTCCCCCGAGCCCCCCGGCCTCCCGGCCGCTTCCGGGAGCCCCTCGGCCTCAGCGGTCAGACCCCTCGGAGAGCCGGCCTTTCCCCGCCGCTTCCCCCGGGTCCTTCGGGCCTCTCCCCGGACCCTTGCTCGCCCTCGGAGCCCCTTGGACTCCCGGCCCGCTCTTCGGAGGCCGCGCTGGGCCTGCGGAGGGTGTGTGGGGAGGATGGCCGGGGGGCTGGGAGCACACGTGGGGGCCCGGGAACGGTGGCAGCGGTGCGTGGGCGGGTGGTACCGGCAGGGGGTCCAGGCCATCGGCGGAGGTGGTGAGGGAGCACTTGGTGAGAATATGGGGTCCGAGGAGTGGCGACGGGAGGAAGGGGTGGGGACCCTGCCGCCGGGGGCCGGAGGGCCTGTGGCGGGCTCGAGGTGTGAGGACCTTAGGGGTGGGGTGGAAGTTTGGGGCCAAGCCCGAACGGAGGGAGAGGTTCCAAGACGCGAGTACTGAGGGCGTCGGCGTACACAGGGTGACACCCGGAGGAGCCTTCTGGACGGGTTGGGAAGGGCCCCCAGACAGTGGTGTGGATCACAGTGAGGCCTGAGAACCAGCCCCGGACTGGAGGGAGGGAGGGAGAGACCGAGATAATATATAAAAGGAATAGATGTGGACGGGGTATCTGGAGGGCAATCAGAGAGTGTGCATGGGGGATTTAGGAGGAGCCAGTGTAGGGATGAGGCCCCCTGGGGTAGATCAAGGCAATAAAAGATTTGTCTGTGTATTTGTGTTGGGGACGGTGGTTTGTCGGGCAGGAGTGGGAGGAGGGTCGGCAGGCAGATAAGGGGTTTGTGGAAAGTTGTGAGGATAGTTTATGGAAGGTGGACCCACGTGTGCAGAGACCCAGGGGGTGATCTGTGGACTGAGAGCAGAAATAAAATAGGGTGCCACCTTGGGAAAGGTGGACAGGCATGATGGGCAACTGGAGGGAGAACCTAAGAAGGTTTTCAGTTAAGGAGGAAGGAAGTTCTTTGACATCTGGGAAGGGGATGTCTAGGGGTGCTGTGTGATTTGAAGAGAGAGTGACCAGTAAGGGTAAGATGCCTGTGGAGAGGCCACTTCTGAAAAGTTGGGGGTAGGCAGGATCTCCACATTAAAGGGCCTGCAATGGGAAGAAGAGTAATAGGCCTAAATTTGTGATAACACGTAGTGAAGTGGGAGGCTCCAGTGAAGTGGGAGGGTCCAGGACCTTCATGGGAAATTCTAGCTTTGCTTCATTTCAGTTTTATTTATCCTATCTAGGCTAGGTCTTGGGATTACAGTCCAGAACCAACAGGCAAGACCTTTTACCCCCCTCTTAGGTTGCAGTCTGGTGGAAAGACACCTTGGATAATTAGTTTTAAGGGTGGCAAATGTTACCGCAGGGGAAGTACAAGGGTAGGAACTGTGGGAGCATGTAGCAAAGATTGCTTATCCATTCTCAAAGAACAGCTTCCCTAAGACAGTTACCGTTAATTCCGTTTTTGAAGAATAAATAGTTGTAGTGGGACTGGTGTTCCAAGTGGGGGGACCCACTTGTGCAAAGGCCCCAAAGTGTTGGAAAAACTCAAAATATGATAAATATTGGCTAGAATTTTAAAAGTTATAGCCAGAGATTTCTGAGGGCAATGGGAATCAGTAGTTAACATTGGTGCTGTGTGATCAGAATTGCATTAAAACAAAACAAACAAACAAACAATCAAACAAAAAAACACCACCATGCTGTATGCACTATGTGAAGAATGATGAGGGGAAGAGAAGAGAGGAGTTATGTGCTTTCTAACATATAGAATTCATCACGTGTCAAGGAATGTTCTAATTATTAACTCCACTTTACAAATGAAACTGGGACACGAGGAGGTTAAGCAACTTGCCCAAGTCTGTGCAGTTAGTAAGGTATAGAGCCTGAGCTCAAAATCTGGAGAATTGGCTCCAGAATTCTCATTCCTCACTACTGTGCATTCAGCCACGGCTGCACTAGTCCTAGTGAGAGATATTGGGAGCTCAGACAAAGAGGGAATACAGAGAAGGAGGTAAGATGTCAGGACTTGAGTGGATGTTAGAGGCCACAGGAGTACCCACTCTGCCCCTTACAAGCTGTCTGATCTTGTGCAGGTTAATTAACCTCTTTGAGCCTCTGTTTCATTCTTTATAAATGGGGATAATAATAAAGTCTATCTCATAGGGTTGTTTAGAGGTTTAAATGTAATAAAAGTTATAGTGGTTTGCACTGAGTCCGACATATGGTAACATTCAGCAAATACTATGAAATGTAAGAATTGGTTTACTCGTCTCTCCATTTTTCTTTGATTAGGACTGTGTCTTCTTCATCTCTGTATTTGCAGATTGCCCTTTTTTTTTTTTTTTTTTTAAAGATTTTATTTATTTATTTGACAGAGAGAGACACAGCGAGAGATCCCAGGAACACAAGCAGGGGGAGTGGGAGAGGGAGAAGCAGGCTTCCTGCTGAGCAGGGAGCCCAATGCGGGGCTCCATCCCAGAACCCTGGGATCATGACCTGAGCTGAAGGCAGACGCTTAACGACTGAGCCACCCAGGTGCCCCAGATTGCCCTTTTCTGCCATTAACTGCCTTTTATTCAAGACCCACCTCAAATATTCATCTCTTTTCCAGAACCAGTTGATCTTTCACCTATTAACTATTATTTTGTGCATATTACTGTTGTAGCCCTTAATACTTATTTCACTTAAATGACATATTCTAGAAAATATTTAAGGCAGTTCACCATAATGTGAAAACATAAAATATAAATGCATGAGAAAACAGGGCAAAAAGAGCATTGAGAGGAAGGAAAACAAGAGGAAGTTAGAAGTGGGTTGATCCTCAGAGTACAGTGGGTAAAATGTGGTACATTAATTAAGACAGCCAGAAGTGACTGTTGTTTCTCCACTAGTTCATACCAGGGCCTGGTCCACTCTGCTCTTGTGTACAGGAAAGAAGGCAACTTTAGACACACAGTACAAACAGCTCTTTCCGATTAAAACACTAGATACCTCTAGTTGATCTTTTTTTTTTTTTTAAAGATTTTATTTATCTGACAGAGAGACAGCGAGAGAGGGAACACAAGCAGGGGGAGTGGGAGAGGGAGAAGCAGGCTTCCCGCTGAGCAGGGAGCCCGATGCGGGGCTCGATCCCAGGACCCTGGGATCATGACCTGAGCCGAAGGCAGATGCTTAACGACTGAGCCACCCAGGCGCCCCTCTCTAGTTGATCTTTAGGGTCCCCATAAAGAAAAGCTAGTGTCATATCCTTAACCTCTTATCAGCACCAATGATCATAGGACTGTTTCTTAGCACATCCCTGACTAGGTCAAAGAAGGCTAAATCACAATTTAGAAAGGCATCCTAAAGCCAATAGGTCATGTGGTTTAACTGAATACTTCTGCTGCTCAATACTTCTGCAGTTCAGAGCAAGGTGTGTGTGTGTGTGTGTGTGTGTGTTTCTAATTTGTTTTAAGAATACTTAGGTCATAGAAGAATGGATGAAGTACAACTTTTTCAGGCAGTCCTCTGTAAACATGGTTTTCCTCAACTGGGCTTTTGGTAAAAAATCAAGCAGAAGTGAGTAGTGGGTATGATAGGTCAACAATGTATTGCATACCTTCCGGGCCCAATTCAAGGCGCTGTCTACAGCAGTAAACTACCACGGAAGACCCAACTTCTGCTTGGGGGACAGAAGCAGTAGTGTGTAATCAAATAAGTAATAAGATAATTTCTGAGAAAGAACATAATTAATTCTGAAATTAAGTTCTGTGAATGAACTGGATGGGATATGAAAGACCATAATGGGGCAGGGCTGCCAACAGTCAGATATGACCTCTCTGAAAAGTGACCCTTAGAGTAAGGCCTGAAGGCATCAACCCTGTGGAGTCCAGGAAAGGATTCAGGACAGGTTATAACTAGTGCAAAGACCTGAGGCAAAAATAAGCTCTGCCCTTCAGAGAAGATAAGGAATAAATTTAGAGAATAAGATAAGGGTTGGTCTCTAGGTGGGTCATGAGGGGGGAGATACAAAAGGAGGTCAGAGAAGTAAATAGGAGCTTGCCAAGAGCCACCTAAGCCACGGAAAGGAGATTGGATTGTCTTCTCTGGGTACTTAGATATGATTGGAGGATTTTAAGCAGAAAAATTAGTGATCCCACGCTTTTTGATCATTCTGGGTTGCTGTGTAGAGAATGGATTCTAGGAAGGCAAGAATGGAAGCAGGGAGGCCAGCGAGAAGTATTCCAAGAGTCAGGGTGGGTTTGGATTAGGATGATGGCAGCAAAGAAGACAGGAGTGGCCTGAATAGCTCATCCTGAAAAGTTCTTGGAGAAGTACCAATACCTGTCTCTGGAGTTTAAAGGACAGCTAATGCCCTCTTACAAATTTGAGGTGCCTGGCAAGATGCTGTGCCCTCATGTAATCCTTCCATACAAGTTTGCCTATCCATTCGGACTGGGAGCTCTTAGAGGAGAAGTGCTTTATTCCCTGCACCCTATACAAGGACACTGGCTAATTTGAGGAAATGCCCTCCTCAGAGGGGAGGAGAGAGACATGATATTTTTAACTATGGATACTGAACTATAGATATTATCACCAACAGTACCATTTTATAGATGGCAAAATAGAGGTCCTAGGAAGTGAGTGACTTACCGTCACATAGCTAGTTCTTGGCAAAGCCGGTCTCTCTCCTCCCCTGTTGCGACCCCAGCATTTTGACTAAAAAAGTTTTTGGTTTTGTTTTGTTTTTAAGATTCTACTTATTCATTTGAGAGAGAGAGCACAGCAGGGGGAGAGGGAGAAGCAGACTCCCCACGGAGTTGGGAGCCCGATGCAGGGCTCGATCCCAGGACCTGGAGCTCATGACCTGAGCCGAAGGCAGATGCTTAACCATCTGAGCAACCCAAGTGCCCCTGAAAACAGTTTAGATGTTGTCACTGTTAACTTAAACTATGTTCACAGTTTGTATTTTGTATGTGTTAATTTAAAGGGTGTTAAACAGTGTTAGTACCCTGACAGAAATCATTTCAGAAGCACTTTTTTTGAGAGAGAGAGAAAGAGAAAGAATCTTAAGCAGACTCCACGCCTAACTCGAGCCAACGCAGGGCTTAATCTCATGACCCTGAGATCATGACCTGAGCCGAAATCAGGAGTTAGGCGCTTAACCGACTGAGCCTCCCGGAAGCACTTTTTGCCGTGCAGAGAACATTAGGTACATACACCGATGTGCCAGAGCACAGATGGGAGGTGAGAAGGAGGTGGCAGGGAGCAGGGTGTGACTGTACATTCCATTGAATAGAGCTTGT